ATAAACAATGACAGGATGCATTCTGGTCTAGCTTGGGTACAAACAACACTATATAATAAACAAGGACAGGATGCATTCTGGTCTAGCTTGGGTACAAACAACACTATATAATAAACAAGGACAGGATGCATTCTGGTCTATCTTGGGTGCAAATGACATTAAGACAATTCTGAAAAGTAAAATTACCATAACAGGACACTGTTATGGGAATAAAATAGGTCTAGCAAACGTATTTGCATTTGGGAAAAGTAATGGAGTGGAGGAATATGAATGTGAGTACTATTAAAGTAATATGTGAAAGAAAAGATGAGTTACAGATTACCTCCTTGTTGACTTGATAACCTTTAAATGCTTTTAATCTTTCAGCCGCTTCCTCTTCTTGACCCATGCTGATCCATGTGTCAGTCACCACAACATCAGCATTGTTACAGGCTTCGCGAGGGTCATTTGTCATCTCAATAGTGGATCCATACTATATCAAATCAATGCAGCAACTTATCATACATAGTTGATCTAATAGCTAATGTTGCTTTTAAACTGAATCATCAAATTCCAATCCCCCTCTGTGGGGGAGGTATGGATATTTTCTGGAATTACACAACATACCCTCCTCAGACCCTCCCCACCCCTTGGAAATTCCAATCCCTTTCTGTGGGGGAGGTATGGATATTTTACAAAACTACACAATATACCCTCCTCAGACCCTCCCCACCCACTCCACCCTCATCATCAACATTGAGGTACGTTTAAAATCTGTATTTACCTTAGCTGCATACTCTAGTGCTGTCTTTGTAACAGTTGCATCAGGTTCATAGCCCTAAAAAAATATGCTTCTTTTAGCAAAATATGAACATCAGCTATCCTACTCTTCAACACATATGAGATTTAATACCTTTGGCGTTGCAATCTGAAGATTGATTCCAAATTTTGGAAATCCCATCATGATTGAGTGCAAGATATTGTTTCCGTCACCAACCCAGGCTACATTACGCTCGTACACTGAGCCGAAGTATTCTTGTAATGTCTGTAAGTCAGCTAGTGTCTGAAGAGGGTGGTACATGTCAGACAAGCCACTAAAATAATAAGGAATGGTTTGAGATACTTATGTAACATTATTATATGACATCATCATAACAGAATCGATATAATCAATCAACATTATCATCACAATCACAATCATCAACACCACAATCAAAGACATCAACATCATCATCAGCACTTTCAGCACCTTTATCTGTTGCCATCATCATCATCATAATGATCATCACCATYACCACCATCCACATCAACACCATCATGATGATCATGGTGGTGATGATGATGTTGGTGATGATTCATAACCACCATCATCATCACCCTCATCATCATCACCATCATCACCCTCATCATCATCATCATCATCACCCTCATCATCATCACCATCGTCACCCTCATCATCATTATGAACATCATTATCATCATCATCATCATCACCATTGCCAACATCACCACCACCAGCATTATCATCATCACCATTATCATAATCACTATCATCATAGCCTGTGTGGCAGGCGTTCCTGGCTGGGGTGGCTGGGGGCTGGCCTTGGGGCCAAAAGGAAATGGAGAGAGAGAGAGTGTAAGGGAACGCCTGCCTATGATCCTTGTTATTCTCTTTTCTCTCCCTCTCCCCATTTTCTTTCAGCCCCTGACTCCAGCCTCCAGCCAGAAATGCCTACCACACTGACTACCATCATCATTATTCTCACCATCAACATCAACATCATTACCATCATCCCCACTGCCATCATCATCACCAACATGATCATAATTGTCACCCATATAGCAAATACCTTATGACTGGCACACTAGAGACACTTGCTAATGTATCAAGGTCATCTTGTCCATACACTCTAGCCAGAATGAGGTCACAAAAACCTGATAGAACTCTAGGAAAAATTGAGAAAAAACATATAAAAATCAAAGTTGTTATTTTCTTCTTTTCCTCTTTCTTCCATTTTTCCTTCTTCCATTCCATCCTCACATTTCCTTTCCCTCTCTTCTCTCAATGCTCAATCCCTCTTTGTTGTCATTCTCTTCTCCTCTCACTCCCCATCCTTCCAAATTATCTTCCTTCCTATTCTCCCTTATCTCACTTCATCTATTCCTCTCTACTTTACTTTTCACTTCCCATCCTCTATATCCTTTTCCCTCTCTTTTCCTTCCTCTTCTTCTTTTCCTGCATTTCTTCCATTCTTTTTCTTTCTTTCCCTCACAAGCAGCTGAATTGTAGCTCCTTACTTTGCTGTGTCATATATGCACTCATTCACACCAAGGTGAATATCATTATCAGTAAGAAAAAGTGGATGAGCTCCAAGCAATGCCAGGGCTATGGAAAGATAGAAAACATGAATTATGAGGAAAAAATTAAAGTATTTTTAGCCCACTTTATCCTGTTTTCATTCTATTTACATGATATTATAAGGTTCTTATCAATAGATATCATTTTAACAAATAGACATCAGTTTTTTATGTGTCTATTCTCTTATTGACGATAAATTGCATCATCACCTTGTTAAAGTAGTGTGGATCCATGAGGTGTAGCTGAGTGGATCTGCATACTACTTTGACAATATGATGATGAAATTTGTTGTCAATAAGACTACAGACATAAAAAACTGATGTCTATTTGATTTTTACAATAACAAAAATGATAAAAACTTCTCATTTTTAGTGATCAAAAAAACCAACTGAAAGAGCACGCGCTCGTTGACGTCAGCTTTATCTGTCTGTCCACTTATTGATGATAGAAAATAACCAATCAGTGTGCGATATATTTGTAAGTTACTGTAAAATCCGGGCTCTTGTGGAAACGTTACCAGTGGACTTGCAACATATCAAGAGACCATTTGCCTTTATTTCATTAGAGGCTGGTAATGGGACACATGAGATTTTGACAGCTGATCGATAGTCAAAAATTTTTATTTAAGCTAATGCTACAGGGATAGAGATGTAGGTTAAAACAGGTATGCATAAAATGATTGAAGGAATAAACTACAGAGCTTATGCTTTATTAGCAGCTTGCTAACCAACTAAGTGACGTCAGCTTCTATAATGATAAGGGACTGATCATTATTTATTGAGGGGGGGGGGGGGGGGGGGGGGCTGGTGCAAATAGGGGGTGGGTCAGCATTTTTTATGCATGGGTTTAAGCAAAAAGCAGCAAAAATCATGCTTAAAGGAGAAGGGGGGTCAGCAAAAATCAAGCATAGCATATTTAATATTGCACCAGCCCCCCTTCCTCCATCCCCCCTCTTGATAAATAATGACCAGTCCCTAACATATAAATAAATTGTAAAATTGTAACATCGATATTGAATCAAACCTGTTTCTGCTGATATCCTAGTTCTTGTGCTGCGCTTTTGGAAAATCAAAGCTGCAGACTTTCCAGCTAATGGTTTGAAATCCTAAAGACAAAGGGTAATATCAAAATGAGGTCCTTTCTGTATTATAGTCAGTCATTTAGTCACCCAGGGGGGTACTACCACCCCAACTTGGGTAGGGGTGTGCTGCCAGGACCTCAAAACCCTGACCCTATCCCAGACCTAAAATTTGGATTTTACATACCCTACCCCAGACTAAAACTAAGAATTTTACACCCTATCCTAGACTAAACCTGGTTAGTCAATAGATTGCAATCAATATTTACTAACGTTTTTATTGTTTTTGTGCTGGCAGAAAGTAGCCTATTTGCCAGACAAAAACGACCAAATCGTTAACCCTATCCCAGACTAAAACGGCCAAATTGTAACCCTATCCCAGACAAAAATGATACCCTATCCCAGGCAGAATGACAAAAAATGATACCCTACCGCAGACCCAAAAGCCGAAAAACCATACTCGTTTAGCAAATATAGGGGAGTAGGGGAGTACCCCCCCGGGGTTAGTCAGTTGGTCAGTCAGCTAGTCAGCCAGTCGGCCAGCAGTCGGCCAGTCAACCAGTCAGCCAATCGGCCAGTCAGCCAGCCAGCCAGTCAGCCAGTCGACCAGTTTGTCAGTCAGTCGGTTATTACCTCTTCTAGATATGACCTTTCTTTGAACCTTGACTTCAAGTCAGCAGCAACCCAAAGAAAATACCGAATCTCATCACTTGAAAAATCTTTGAGAGTTAAAAAATTCCTTCCTTTTACAGATGGAAATGGGTGATCATAGCTAAAATCAAAAATACGCAATATTAGAAAACTCTGTTCTGCATTTGCACATTGTGTTGTCATTTTGATGCGATAAATGAAGTGTAAAATTAGCACTATTCTTTTAAATTATTGTTATTTTGATGCGATAAATGAAGTGTAAAATTAGCACTATTCTTTTAAATTACATGTAAATGTCATGTAAATAGAAAACGTGGCAAAAACAAATCAATTTATCAAAAATCTTGTGTTTTCAATTTCCTTACTGGTGACAAGGGAATCACTTTAAAAGAATGTAAAATACTACTGTACTACTCATTCTAGAGGACAGAATCGAATGCAATATAGAAGAGCTACTTACTAGATCGCCCTAATAGGCATAAACGATACCACACAAAGCGAACTCGTTTGAGAAAATTTAAAAAAATAATAACAGAATTTACCCTTTGCTAGAGATCTTTCTTGTTGGAATCACAGCTGTAGTGCTCCTTAGTGGGCTTATAATCGCAGGAAAGAGTTTTGCAGAACGTTGAAAGCTTGACTTGAAAAGCCTTGTGGAAGCCATGTTGACTTTGAGAAAGAATTTTGATCGGGGTCACGCAAGGCAACGACATCACACGACCACTTTCCGAACGTGTTACGAACGATATTTAAAAAAATATTTTTGAACTAAATATTATCTTTTTTATAAAATGCTCTAAATAATACCGTATACTGTAGGTCTTGTAAATAAATTAGAAAAAAAATTTTGATTGTCTTACAGCATTGGTCTTAACGAAGAGGGCTCTACAAAAGGAGTTCTCTTAAGTCTGATAAGTCTAGGCTTAGCTTATATTAATTTTACTTAATAGACTATTATCTATGATATGTCCTTTTTGATTCCTTCCCATTTTTCTTTTTTCTTTCTTTTATTCTTTTATCTTTTTTTCTTTTTCACTCTCATTTCGTGATGAGCCAGCGATTAATTTCAGCGGATAACCTCATTAAACCATAAAAAATCTTTCAAACAAAGATGGCGTCTGACGACGAGGATGTCCCAGGTTTGTTTATTTTACAAAAATCATACTCTTCTTTGCCTCATTTTACCTCCATATTTACCCAACCCAAGCTATAGTAATACCTCTACGTATCCGTCTCAATAAATCTCAAGATTAACCGTATTTTTTATTTATATTTGACTTCAGAAACGGGCGCCGTTTTTACGTTTGGGAAATCAAGATTTGCAGACAACTTGGCCAGTAAATTTTGGATTCGCGATGATCCTGTAGTCCAGGTCGCATGTGGAGACGAACATTCAGCAATTATTACAGGTGTGTTGGACATATTTTCATTGATAAAGCGGTTTCTAAACTCGAATAAACCCTCTTAAACAACTACTCGGCTTCGAGTGAGCGAAGCTTTGACTTCACTATCCTCTGAACTTTATTTTTCGCCTTTTTTTTCTCAACAGCTAAAGGTAAACTTTACACATTTGGCTCCAACGACTGGGGACAGCTAGGACATGGCAATACTAAGCCTTACAATAAGCCAAGCGTTGTAAAAAGTAAGTTCAAAATTTCGGAAAACTTTTATGAACTTTGTGCTGAAGGCGAGCCAGACTGTGATTATAATTATTTGTTGCTTAGAAACCAAAACAGGTCCCACATTCAATCAATAAAGATCGTTTTAAATCTTCGTTTTAAAAACCCATGTGGTTTTACATTAATTATATATAGCTTAAACTAGATAATTAAGAAAATTTCCTACGATTTTATCGATAATCATAACGAAAACTTAGTATATTTAGAGCCAGCTTTGTCTATGAACTCTTGAATGCAGCTTAAAATTAGCATTGTTCGTGAATCTCTCTAAGCTTTTTGGGATTTGTACATTGAATTCTGAGTCGAATCAAGGAGGTGCGGTCGAATTTTATACTATTTAACAGCAAAAGTTTTTTTAGAAAACTAAATATTTCAGTACTATAAAAATGTTATGATTTTTTTGTCAATAATTTTTTCGTACATATATGCTAACTCAAAGATTTAACCCAAGAGCAACATTAATTTGGACTGATCAAATTCAGGGCATGGCCAACTCACTGATCAAGCACCTGAAACAACCTCTGGGCTGATCTAAGTCAGTGCATGGCTAACTCACAGATCAAACCCTGGAACAACCTTTGGGCTGTTCTAAGTCAAAGCACAACTAACTCATGGATGGAATTGAAATTTAACATGTTGGGTTTTGTGGAAGAAGCAAAACCAGAGAACTCAAAGAAAAGCTCTCAAATAAGTTTTGTTAAACAGTACATTATATGGGAGACTGAAACATCTGGTCAATAATAACTGGACTCCCATAAATAATAGATGAAATTATTATTACCATTACCACAACATCTTACTAAGCCATTCAAAAAGTGTCAATTTTCCATTTTTATTCATTTGGTAATTTCGAAATCTATATTGTATTTTATATATTATTCTATTATTCTATTCTTATTATTCATTTTGCGTTTTCGTTAATAGTCGTATTTGCCCTTGGAGGGGTGAATGAATTTTTTTCAATTCTAAATTTCTAGGGATTCATAGTAGTAGCCTCTATATTAATGTATCTTCTCAAGTGTTAGTAATAAACAAAAAATAATATTCAAGAGAATGTCATGTGGTCTTACAGAGGTTGTTGAGGAAGTCTAAAGGCTCTTTTCAAATCTACTTTTGACACTGCTGAATCTGCTGTAGTTGAATCTGCAGTAGTTGTTGCTGTTGTTGTTGCTACCTTTATCGTTGTTGTTGCTGCTGTTTTGTTGATGCTGTTGTTGTTGAAGTTGTTGTTGCTGCTGCTGTTGTTGCTGCTGTTATTGT